CATCCTCTCACAAAGTGACTTGTCCGTCCTGGTTGTTCAAGACCCACGGCGTATCCTCAGAGCCTCAGGGGTGCAGATTGAAAACTTACTCTACCTCGCGTTATCCTTTCCGATATACGAGAGCAAGTGCAAGTGCTGTCTAGCAATAATAACGAAGGGTCCAGGGAGGTGGAGCACACGTTCGAGGCTTGGTCAGGTCACTACAGTCCTCGGCTCTTTGACGTATCGGCAGAGTTGGTGCTAGCAGATCCATCCGACGCTTCTCAGCCACCGCGATCGAGTATTATAGGCAGTGCGTGGTGGGGCACCCGTTGTATTCAAACTCCACTTCGCTCAGCAGCTGGTCCTTTGGGGATAATTATCGCCGACGCTAGCGGGCTTGTGCCGGAGAAGACCGGAGGAGACTGTGGGAAGCTTGGATGGATGAATAATAAAACAAGGCAAACAAGGCACACATAGTTGAATAAACTCAGCAAGTCCAAGTACAGGTCAATTTTTTTTATTAAACTGAAGGTTCACCTGGATATCCAGGAAGCTTAAAAAGTTCATCAAGCGTAGCCTTCTTTCCTCTTTCTCCGACCAAGTTAATTTCCTCCTGAGGGACGCGGGGATCATTAAAATCTGGCAGTTCGGGCATCTGGGTTTCAGCGTCCACGTCTTGGCTAAACTCCGAAGGATCAAACACTTCCGTCGACTCCACACTACCTTCAATTGCCTCCTCTTCGTTACATGCATCCATCCAACCAAATACGGCGTCCCGGCTAGCCAGCGGGTTATCACTACAGACATCGTCGTCAAAATCTTCGTCCAAAGCCTTGTCTTGATTAGAAGCTGGTTCACTGCTTCTTCGCTTAAATGGTGACCGCGCACTAGATCGTTGCCGCGATGGCACAGCACAGGGATAAGCATTTCCAATTCTTGTGGAGATACAATACGAGCTTCCGGTGCTTTAGCTGTTCGCTTAGGTAGGCTGCTACGTATGAGTTTTCGCGCACCAGCAATCTTTCGCGCCTTTCCGAGTCCATCCTATTCCGGAGTGGTGTGTGAATAAGCGCAATTCCACTGAAGTATCGCTCGCAAGTAGCTGTAAATACCAACACAGAGAGCACGGCAATTGCAAGATCAGCAAGTCGGCTGTTGGGAAATTGCATTTTCACATGACGCCAAAACGCAGGGATTGCTGGCAACATCGAATCCTCAAAATCGTCCAACGTGTACTGGATCAAACTACCTGTTAGCCAGTCGTGCATTTCTCGGACAATATCCCCAGGGTCTTTACCGAAAAACTTCTTGTAGGAGAACTTTGCAAATTTGCCAATGTTACCGATGCCAGTAACTGCTGTGTTACCAGGCAACGCTTTGCGAACTTCAATGTACGCCGGATGAAAGTAGAGAGCAAGCATTATAACTAATTAATCACATGCTGCCCAACAAGACTCCCGCACATCCAACATTTTATGTTTGTAGTTTCCGGCAACGAAGCCATTGAAGAGATCGCGAAACACAATGATCACGTCGGCCAACATGTTTTCGGCGCTTTGCAGTTTAAACGATGCAAAACACAAAAGATTTACCGCAATTCCAGCTTCTCCAAGTTTTTTTTTTTTCCAAAACGACTCGTCGTCTAGGCATAGCAGGTCGGTTGGAAATAATTTATCACTCATGTACTTAGTAGTAAAAACTCTAAGTGCAGTTTTAACCCTCAACAGTGATGCGAAGCACCCTTGCATTGAATTCCAACGGGTATCACACAACTTGATGAATTTCCGAGAGTCCCCATATGCTTGAACCATTATGTCTTCAGAGCACTTCAACGATTTTGAGGACGATGCGTGGAAAGCATTACCACATTTGTCGCCTGGGTAGCAACGTCTCGAAACGATGGCGCCTTCAGGATTGCCTTCACAAGGTTATTAATGTTATGCGCAAAGCACTTCAGAAACTCGACATGGTGCCATGGCCAGCGTCATCAGTCACAACAGCACCAATTATCCAGCCTCTCGATTCTGCCTCCAACATAACATTCTCCATTAATATGGCAAGTGCCACAGCGTCGTAACGAAAACCGGTAGAATAGAAACCAAGCGTCATAACCACTCCAAAAGCACCAGCATACAACCTAAAAGATGATGTTTGGAAATATTCTGCCAAACATCGCTCAGGAAATTCACCCGACCACCAGTTGCCCGCTGTGTACGGATGACGCCTTCTCCATCTTCCGAATTCACTTCAGCAACATATCTATCTAAAATAGGACCACTCAATTGGCGTCGACTTGGAAGAAAATCTAAAACAGCAAAGTTTAAACTTTCAATAGAAGCACGAGTTGGGGGGGGGGTCTCTGAATGAACGTATCTGGTAGAAAGTGATGCGCTTGAAATTCGAGAAGCTTTGTTATCATCCATTTGCGCTGGTTACCAGTAAAGGAGGCTCTTGGGCGGTTGTCCTGGATAGAAGCATCATCTTGTCGTGGTAATGAACGTGCAGCAG